CTTAATCCTGTTCGTTTGTGTATGTAACTTGTGTTACAAATTCGACATTTTCCAAATTGATTTGCCTTCATTTTTGCAGATCCTTCCAACCGGAACTCCTTGGATTCCAAATCTGGTCCAAACGATAACAGATGCCGTCTTAAATGGAAAAAGCGGCATTCTTGTGGACAAGAAGTTGATTGAGGGCCCAAATGCAAACGACAGGGGAAAGAAATTTATACCTCTCATCTTAGCAGCACAGGCAAGTCTCCTTGTTTCCTCTATCCCAGTAAAAAAAAAAACACTCACTAGGCAGTACTTCTTGTTTATCAATTACAGCGTACCTCAGCAATTTAAAGAAAGAATTTGTCTGATGATTTACCCTCTCTTTGCACCGTTTTGTATTTTCACTTTTTCTGCAGTATTTCTTGGTTATCAAAAAGATACGGAAGTGGATCAAGGATGACATTGCTAGAGGCTAAAGAGCTTAAGTGAAAAATCATTGCCATGGTTGTTTCAATGTTCACTTCGTTTCTTCTTCAGTTTTTCTTAGTTATTATCTCCCATCTCTGTTTCGGGTATGAGCAGTGTTTTGGCTTTGGAACATAACATCTATTTACGCTGTGTCCTTTTTTTCTCTTTTTATTTTATTAATTTGCTTCATATGCATAACTTGAAATTTGCTGTTGTTTGTCCATCGTTTTTATGGTTTATACCTTTATTGTTCTTTTGTCTTTATTGGCTATTCATATTTGCAAAATTTGAATTTGAATTCGAAAAAATTGATTTCAAGATTTGAAATTTATGAGTTCAAATATGCATACAACGATAATAATAATATTATATTTAATATGCCACATAAAAAATAAAATTTTATTTATATAATATATGTATATATATATATGAAATATAAATATAAAATACAATAAAACATATTTCTGAATAAATTTATATTTAAAAGTATATATTACATATTTTTGTATTTATTATATCTATATCTAACTATATTTATATGTTAATATATTTAAATATATGTGTTTATATATTTATTCTAAAAACAACTTTGGAGTCCGGTTGAATATATTTGATTATTTTAATCGAATTGAAAACAAATTGCAAATTAGATTTGATAAATGAACAATAATCAAATATTTTCATGAATTTAAATTAAATAGTTAAGTACTCGCTTTGATTCAATTTTTTTTACAAATTTATTCTATTATAAAGTGATAGTTGTAACTTAGAATTTTGAAGATGGTTGGGGTTCTACATAATTTAGTGCAACTTTCAGGGCAGTTTCAAATTTTTTGGTAACTATTCATATCTTCTTATCATGATAGTCTTAGTTATGTTTTCTTGTTGGGATACTTTTGATTGGATACATTTTTTTTTTTTTTCGAAACGTTAGAGATTACTATAAACTGAAAGGGAATATAGTTCGAATACAATAGGCAACAACCGAAAAGAAATCCTGGGAGGACATGCTCAAGGCGGCCTAGAACTCTCCACTGCCACAAGGCTGATACGACTACGAGTTCGAGCCTTGATGTTGATAGAGATGCGAGCCTGGGCCAGAGAAGGTCCCGCCGGATAATTCGAAGGCCCGCTCGCTATGATAATAAGTTGGTTATAATTATTCATTATATTTTGTTGGTTTAGTTTTGTTTAGTTTGGGCTGGTTTATGAAAGCCCATAATGTTAAAATTGTTACATGACCTAGCTGTATATAAAGCTAGGATTTGTCATTTTGAACGATAATAAGAATCATATTTTTCATAAACCCTTGTGGTAGGTTTCACGTGATCGTGGAGAAATGAGTTTTCACGCACTCGATAGCGTGACGCTAATACACGTACGTATTACTGGTGCTTCCATTGAATTCGAGTCATGGGGCACGACGAAGGATCATGGTAGCAAAAATTGGGTGCGCTCAACGCCCAAGTGGATGACTTTGTTCGTTCGAGTACTCAGGGTTACCAGGAGCTTCGACAGTCATTAAAGGCACAACAAATGACGTTTCAGGCTTAGATGGATGAAATTTTGGCCCTTATCAAGCCAAAACAGGAACAATCTCTCACCGCTCAAACTGAGGAACTACCTCCAAATCGTGGATATTCGGTTCGCCTTGAGTTCCTTGTTTCGATGGCGAAGACCCATATTCGTTGGTTTTTCAAATACAAGAATATTTCTCATTTCATAAGACCCCAGATTCACAACGTCTCAAAATTGTTGCTTTTCATCTGGATGGTAAAGCTTCAACATGGTTCCAGTGATTAAAGTCACAAATAATGCTCTCTACATGGGATGAATTTTGGCGCAGAGCTCAAGCCCGTTTTGGTGCATCGCACTTTGAAGATCCGGAGGGCTGCCTGACAAAACTCACACAACAAGGGTCAGTCGCTGAGTACCAGTCTGAGTTTGAATCTCTCACGAACCTTGCTAAGGGCATCGCAGAACCAGTATTGATCTCTTTATTCATCTCAGGCCTTAAGTTAACAATTCGTCGGGATCTCCAGATGAACATGCCTTTCACCTTGGATGAAACTTTTGCTTTGGCTAGAGACTTTGAGTGCAAATACCTAGAGACGCAGGCTGCGAGTCGCACTTACTCGCGCGGATTTTCTCGTGGCACATCTTTTCTAGGTGGTAGCTCCCCCTCTCGGATGCTAGTACCAGATCGACGTGATGGTGCAATTGCACCGTTATAATCCCCACATATCACCAAACCATCAGGACCACCAGAAAGCTCTCGAGAGCCTTCATCTTTGCCTTTTCGTCGTCTCTCTATTGCTCAAATACGCGAAAAACGCATGAGGGGTGTAATAGCCTAGTTCTATTATTAATAAAAGTGACAGTTTAGTTCCGAGTTTGAACTATTTTCTTTTATTAATATTGCTCGCTTCGAGTTCCGAGCCCAATTATTCAGCTATTCATTTTCAGTTATTAATTCCGATCCATTTATTTTTAGAAATGAATTTTATTCAGTTGGGATTAATTATTTCCAGTTGACAAATAATCGTAACCGAGTATGTTTCGATAAATCGTCCAAGTTAAGCCGTGTCCGGAACCGAGTATGTTCGGTCACGAGTCTCTCGCCTAGTCCGCGCCTAGCCAAATCTCGAGCCTAGTAGTCCCGAGTCTTGATCAAGCCCAAGCCGCTTGTAGCCTTACTTAGAATTTTCTAAGTATGAGTTGATCATTATCGAACCTTAGAACCAAGGATTTTTCCTCGGTCAAGTGATCCATGTGCCTAGTCGTGTGGTGCCGAGTCGCTCGGGCCAAGGGTCCGCGAGCCCATGGCATAGCCGAGCATGTATGAGAATTTCCTTAGAAATATCCTAAGTCTTGGAGCTCATCATTTCAACCTTGAGTTTAAGCAAACTCGGCCAAAGAGAGTGTCGAGCCCCAAGCATGCCTCGCGCCCAAGCCACGCGCGCCCAAGGCCTATAGCCGTTCCAAGAAGGCTTAAGTATAGCCGAGCATATGGAGGATTTTCTAAGTATTTTGGCACCTATTATCTGCCATCATTAAGCCTTGGAGAGTTAGCAATGCTTGGCCCAAGATGTTGTGCATTTTCGACCCGCGCCCAGGGCAAGGGCCGCACATCCCAGCAGTGCCGCGCCAGTCCAGGGTTGTGTGCAGCCCAGCGCGCCCAGGCCCCAGTGCCAGCCCACCTTCCGAGCCCAATTCCAAGAGTTTCGGCCCATTTACTTCAAGACCTAAGTGCTGCGTGTATTAAGGGGGTTCTGGGGATTAATTAAGCCTAAGATGTCCCTAAGAAAGTTTAAGGAAAAGTCAAACACAATTAGCACCAAAGTGGAGCATGTGCAAGGCAATATTTTATTCAAATGTGTAAGATGTTGTCCCCCCACTACCTTGGGAACGTCCAGAATTGACCAGACCTCCATCCTCAGCATTTGTGCTCTGCAAGATGCTCCTAAAAACGTGCAAGGTCAGGCCAAGCAAGTCCAAGACCTTCCCCAACTCCTAGGCACATGAAAAATGCATTTGTCCCCCATTAGCTCTCATTGTTAAATCCGCCCAAGCCTCTATATTAGGCTCACTTCTCAGCTTTGGATAAGCTCTTAGACACTCAAAATCGTGAGCATATAGAGAGAAATAGAGTGAGGGCCGAGGGGTAAGGACTTGGCCATTTTCACGCGCGTGTAGTGCCAAGGGAGAGGAGTACCGAGTTCCAACCCATTTCACTCGAGGCTCTGGCATTCCAAAGAGCTTCATGGATTTTTAGAAGTCCCCAGAAACCATCATTAGCACCCCAAAGTCATTGGAGCAAGCTTAAGTTCCCTAGGGCCCGAGCAAGCACGAGCAAAAGAGCCCTAGCACCATGTTGACGGACGTTTCCGGTCAACGGTTAAAAAGTCAAGTAATAGAAAGAATGATGAGGAAAAGACGGAGAAATACGGTCTAATTACGGTTTTATTAACGGGTCACGAGGTCGGCCTCTCGTACGAGGTCGGCACTTGTGATATACTTATATTGTTTACAAGAGTTTCTTACAAGTCTTTTAAAGAGAGAAAATATGAGCTCGAGCAGTTGAGTTTCAACAACCCAAAATAAATGAGGTGGGTCGCTATTTATAGTAGCTTTTAATATCGCACTGTTCGGGTACTGTTCAACGATCTTGTCGTACAGTAGTTCAACGGGACAAGCCGGCGCTTCCCTGACTGATTGGGAGTGATTTCCGGATTCTCTAATCATTGCCTGACATACATTTAATGCTAGCGTGGGCTGCATTAAATGCGGACACGTTTTGGCTGAGCTGGACGTCCCATCGGCAATCATTCGTGGACAAGTGGCATTATTTTATTGTACCCGGCGTCGTACTTTCATCAGGAGCCGCCCTGGCTAGGTTTCGAACGGGGTGCCGAACTCGTATCTTGATGAGCGTGGCGCCGAGCTCGGGACCGAGTCCCCTCGTCGTTCCCGACGGCCCTGATACTTTTCAAGCTCGGCACCCATGATCGGTTTCAGGTGCCGACTTTTTCGGTTCGGCCGGCCATCACTCGGTTCTTAATTCGTCGGACCGGTACTCATATTGGGGCCGGGCTCGGGTATCAACATACAGGCCCCCAAGCTTGGGTGAGGTCCATTGGACCTCTCCTGAGGTCGTCTTTGATCGATCGGATCCGAGCTGGACCCAACAAATCTGTATTAACCTCTCAAATCCGTGTTCGTCCCCTTCAAGGTCGGCATCTCCACCACACTTGAATCGTGGGGGCGCAAATATTGGCAGTATGGAACGTGGGGCGTAACGGTCGAAGAGCGTGGACGTGTGTTAACTGCATTCACACTGTGGGGGGACACGTGGCGGATTAAGGGCCAAGTATTTCGAACGGACGTAACGGTTGACAAACAGGGGGTGACGGTTATCTTGTTCAACACTTCAGTTACTTGAGGAACCGTTTCGAATTTCGAATTTCAAAAGGCCCGTCCACGTGTCCACTTCCGATTGGTTTGGGAATCTTATATATATCTCTTTTTCAGAATTTCTCTTCACTTTTCCCAAGAACTTTTGCAACTTCTCTTTTCGGATCTGTCGAGCTTTGCAATTTCCGAGCACATCCCAAGAATTTCCGGCGACGATTTCCGGCCATCCTTCGGTAATTTCTACCTTCCTCTCTTATTTCTTCTTTCCTTGCCTTTTTCGATTGGGATGTCTTCTTCTCCGAGATCTGCGGGCGACGGCGGCGACTTCGCCGGTAAGGGTGGCGATTCCTTCCGGCAGGCGGACGTTATTCTTACCGCCGTCCCTATTTCTGTGATTCGACCGGATCCTTCGACGGTCGAAATCGCCTCCAGTGGCGGAGGTGCCGAAGCCAACCCTCCTTTGTCACCGCTGCGCGAAGGGAACGATGCCGACCTTGATCCTTTGGCGGCAGCTGACGACGACGATGTCGACCTCGATTTTCTGGACACCGACTCCGATGTCGATCCAGATCTGGTTGATGAGACCCTTCAAGGGGAAACCGGCGGTCGGGAGCGTGTCCCCATGGGGGACGCGTCGTTCGACGCCGCTCTCGAGGAGGTGACCACCGTTTCTCCGGGGTTCTGGCGCCGACCTGAACGGATCCGGGCAACACCGAGTCAGGCGACGGCCTGGAACACGGCGTCGATCCTGGATGACGCCGACATGGCTCAGCTGAGGGGAAAGTTTAACTTCGGCCCTGGCGTTCGGCTGTTCGCACCCTATCCGGGAGAGAGGATTCATTGCCCGCCGCCGGGCTGTATAGGGGTCTACCGTCACAGCATCCACTTAGGCCTTCGGTTTCCCCTGCCCAGTGCTCTCAACGATATTTTGAGCGGACTTAAGGTCGGCATCAGTCAATATGTGCCGACAGTGTTTGCGCGCCTGATGAGTTTGATCGTCATGTACCGTCGTGAGGGTTGGGCCGACCCCACCGACGACGAGGTGAGGTCCTTGTTCGCTTTCAAGCGCGCCGGTGAGACCGGCAACTACTACAGCTCGGTGCTGCTCGGCATCGACAAGACGTTGGTGGCCAAGTTGCCCGAGACCCTGCATGGCTACATGCCGCACTGGTTTTGGGTCGGCGGCGAGTGGAGGACCCCGGACGCTACTCGGCACCCACCTACTCATTTCATTTCTCATACTCGTAAGTTTTTGTTTTCTCATCCGTCACCAACTGATTTGCTCTCCTTTGTGCTAACAGGTCATACTTTGCGTTTTCAGTCCATACTCACAGCTCGGCACTCAGTCTACGCCTGGCCGAGCGACTCAGCACCTTGTTGGCGCGAAACGAAGAGGACCGCCGCTATTCCGCCCTCGTCAAAGAAGAGAACCTCCTCAATCACAACCTTAGCCCGGAAATTGTCGACAGATCTTTCGAACCAGGTAGCTTCTTAACTTGGCTCGGCACCTTGTTGGTCATTTTATTCTTCGCGGCCTGCTCGGTACTAACCGCGCCCTTAACTTTATTTGCAGTCTACTACCCTCTTCTTAGACTCAAGGGATTCGAGTCTGTGAAGGCTGCGAACAAACACCGCCGAAAGCACCCGAACCCACTCAAAACGAGAACAAAAGCTGCCATGTCTGGTCGCCTAAACCTTGCTAAGAAGAGGGCGGCGCTCAACAAGGAGCCGGCCCCGAAAGCTGCCGATGTGCCGACCCCTGTGGAGCCGAGCACCGTTCCTGCTGTCCCCCAGGCCCCTCGCGCCCCGGCACCGGAACCGCGCATGACGAGGCGACGGGCTCGCGAGGCACCGAGCTCGACCGGCGGCGAGGCCCCGGGTGCGGGCGGCGAGGGCCCGGCTGCGGCGAAGAAAAAGAAAGGCGCCGAGGCCGAAAGCTCGGGCCTCGCCCAGGAGAAGGACGCGCACATCCATCAGGAGGGGGCGAGCACCTTCGTCCCTATTGATGCCGAGCGGAGGGCTCGTTTCGCTAAGTCCCTGCCCGGCTTTCCGGATGACTGGTTCTTGGACCTCCGCTCGGCCGAGGGGGTGGTTGTCCCCAACCAGTTCGGGGTTCCGGAGGAGATGATCAGGGCGGCTCGGCTCCCGTTGGTCGCTTGGACCCCGACTGCTCAGGCCGCCGCCACCCAGCTCTCCACCCCGTCGCTCATTCACCATGCGGCGGGGACCATCTCCCGCGCCTTGGTCGAGCTCGTCCAGGCCGCCGATCGGTCCCAGAGGGCCCTGGCCGACCACCGCAAACTGGAGGCCGACCACGAAC